AATCCCCCTATATAATAGCAAAGGCACACTGACAGGTCCTCTTTATGGAGACATTAGGGGTCTCTAGGACCCCTAATATCACCTGTGGACCCCAAAAGAAGCTGATGAAGCAGAGATCTGCTTTATCAGCTTCTTCTCTCTGGCTATAGCAGCCAGATGACTGACATGTGAATGCGGAAGTGATGTAATACACACTTCTGCATTCACAGCCCGGACGGAGATCAGCAAGGAACGAGCACATATAGGCGATCGGCGGGCTATGGACCCGCTGATCGCCTATATGTGAAACACCCGGTAACGGGTGTGTGCAACCGTCGGGTCTTCCCTGCCCGTGCGTGCCCGCTAGGGCGCGCAAGCAGAAAAAAAATTGCCGTCTGGAGACGGCAACCCGCAAATGCAGCAGTGCCGTCCGTCCGTTTTTTTTACTACGGGCGGACGGCAAGAGGTTAAAATGTTAAACGCAAGCTTCTGCCGTAAGGTCCCGCGCTTGCTGGGGATCTCACAGCATCTGTTTACAGAGCCGGTCCAGCCGTACACCTCCCAGCCATGATGAGCAGCACAGAGTATGTAGCTTCATATTGTTCTGCATTGCTGTATTATGTATTGCCGGGATTTGTAGTCCCTCTACAGCTTGGAGTCAGTGGCAGAACTATCGGGTGCAGCAGATGCAGCTGGGACCCGGCTCTGGTGCTCCACCACTGTCCTAAAATCATTACTCTGTATTGTTTTAGAAAAACTGTCACATGACACACACAAAAAAAAGGTATCGGCGAGTACTTGAGGTAAAGTATTGGTACTTGTAGTGGGTCTGAACAAAAAAAAAAAAAAGGTATTGGTGCTCCCTAAATGCTTCCCTAGGCTTCCTTTGGATTGGGAAAGAAGGAAGGCAAAACGATGAACGGTTGTTACCACCTTTGGCAGAAGAGAATACTTGAGCCTAAGAACTACCTTTTCTTGATGAAGGCTCTTTACAGGACAGACTAAGAAACCGTCCTAGTGGAAGTAATAGCTACAAGAAACACAACCTCTTCTGTAAGGTCCTCTGATGCAATATCTTCTATAGCCTTAAAAGGGAGCCAGTTGCAGAAAGGAAAGGACTAAATGTTGATCCCATCGGAGGATGTCTTGAAGGACATAAGTGAGTTATGCCCTGTTCAAAAGCCTTGACCAGGGAATGAGAAGAGGGAGATACTAGGAGCTGGGACTCCCCACCTTATGTGTTGCATCACCAATGAAGAAAAAAAATACTCAGCTTCACTTCAGTGGGGTTTTCAGGGACGGGGTCACATCAGTGCAAATACACCTCTGCCCTGGACCTGTATAGCACCCTGTAGCTAACCCAACACACTGAACTGTGTGCCAAGATGGACCTCTTACAAAGGGTTCAGTGGCTGAAAATAATTACAGGCTGGTCCTGTGACGGACCCCCGTACTCAGGATGAGTATGTCCGCCGCTGTCTTCTTCCTTGCTGAGGAGATATTGCAACCTGAAGATCCTTAGCTCCCAGTTAGGTCCCACATCTTTTGACGTTGTCCTTGTGGTCATTCACCAGTTTTGGCTCCCTTGGTGGGGTGCTGATCTGACGATTGCCACTGTGGCCTTATGAGGCCTAAGAGACTTGATGAAAGACATCATAAAGATATGATTATTTAACATCCATCTTCTAAGGGGACAAAAAACTGAGGATCTGTGGTGATGGGAGGAGTTATGAAGTCACAGCTATGGCCTAAGGCAGGGGTGCCCACAAGGTCGATCGCGCTTACGCCGCTTCTCTGGATCCCTGCTGCTCTCTCCAGCGGGGATCCGAGAAGAAGTGAAGGAACCGACGGCGGGGGAGGGCGGAGGACGGAGCCGCTGTCACTAACTAATGCAGAGCGGAGCAGGGGGATGCAGAGGAGAAGCTGAGCCCATTTGTGCGTGGCCGAGCGGCAGAGGATCGGTACATGTCAGTAGTATGCAC